ACATTAGATTGTGGAAGAGGAAGGCAGATGCCCTGAGGCTGGACCCATGCCACCCACTCTTCCCCAGGTAGCAGTGACTAAACGCAGGCTCCAGGGCAGGGGACCAGAAGATGGCTCTGGAGGTGGTCTTGGCTGAAGGGCAGGGCTCAGAACAAGGCATCGCAACAGATCGAGAGTTTATTGTATGACGAGAAAACCCATACACACTGAGAACAAAGTGCTAGATTGGAGAGAAATTACATATTACATGTGTAGATATGCCATCCTTTTTATCCTCACAGGATTCATATGAATAAATATTAAGACCCCAGTAGAGACAAGGATGGAGATAAGCGGTTTACACACACACACACACACACACACACACAAACTAGCAGACTACAGGAAGTTTAAGCTCATTGAGATCCAACTAGCTGCCAAAAGCCCTGATGTCTGTCAAGCCCACCAGTGCTGTTAGGCAGTGCCTTGGAGGCTGCTTACCAAGGCTACAAGTGGACACAAAATATCTACAGAAATCAGTTACCATGTAACTGTAATAGCTATTGTGTGAACACATGGTCCCCCAGGGAGAGGGGCTCCCAGATAGGCCATATACCTGTTAAAATGACAGTATAGGTTGTATCACAGAACCCCTCCCTCCCCAACTCCATTTTCCAGAAAACAGAGTACAGTAAAGATAGCTACTGGGACATCAAGGCCTTTTAAGTGCAAGTTATTATCTGATTTAGAAGCATCTCAAAGTAAAGTTGTCCTGGACTCACGGCCTCAGGCCATCCCACAGGGTCCAGCACTCTGGGCCTGAGCTGCTCCTGCAGAGCAGCCAAGGGACACAAGTTGGTTCCCCAAGATGAGGAGGGTCCTACACAGAAAGGTCTTGTTGCCAAGCCCTACAGCCATCTCAGCCACAAGAGCTGCTTGTCAGGAGCCCTGATAAGGGGCCTGGGAATGAGGCCCTAGAAGGGGTGGTGGGTTAGGGTCAGGGCAGTGGGTCGTTTCCTTACAGCTCTGGAAGACAGGGAAATGCGGTCAGGCCCAAACATGTTTACTCAGGGGTTACTGATGGCCCCACATCCTGAAAGGTGACAATATGGCCAGGACCATGTCCGGTCTCCTTTCTTCCCATTTCCAGTGGATGCTCCTATTCTTGTCTGGGACCCTTGGAGAAGAGGAGCCTGGGGCCAGCATTAGGCCACAAGCCCTCTCAATACCCAGGGTGGGGCACTTTATTAAGCACCATGCTCCATATAGACTAGAACCTACAGCCTCAGATGGAGTCCAGGTTTCAAGAATGTAACTGAGAAGCTGCTAGTCCTGGTTGTTTATCACCTCACTGGCTCTAAGTACTAGTTGGCCAGCCTCGTTATCACCCTTGTTCTGAAGAGAAGGGACCCAGAGGCTCCCCACCCACTATGAATCCAGAGGCAGACAGATGGACAGGAAAGTAGGATTTATTGGTGGTTGTGAGGAAGGAGGGGATGGCACCAAGGCTCTCATGAGTGCAGGGCCCGCCATTTGTCCAGGGGGCCACGATTCGGGATGTATTTGACCCCACAGCCATCTGGGATGAGCCGCTTTTCTGCCACCATGTTTTCAAATTCATCTGCATTAAACTTGGTAAATCCCCACTTCTTTGAGATGTGGATCTAAGAGAGACAAAAAGCGTATCAGAAAAACTGAGGATTGGGCTAAGGAAAGGTGAGACCTAGGCTGCAGCGCTACTGACCTTCTGGCGGCCGGGGAACTTGAACTTGGCCCTGCGCAGGGCCTCAATCACATGCTCCTTGTTCTGCAGCTTGGTGCGGATGGACATGATGACTTGGCCAATGTGGACCCTGGCCACTGTGCCCTGGGGCTTTCCAAAGGCACCCCGCATACCCGTCTGGAGCCTAGGTTGGGGACAGTATGCCAGACATGAATGTCCACCAGAAAGGGCTGTCTCCAAGGTCCCTTAGGGCAACCCACACAGGCAAACAGGCTGCATACACTACCGAGGAGAATACTGTTTGCAGCCATTGCACACTGGGCCCCACGAGGAAAAGAGCACAGTCGGCTTAATTGACTGCAGAGAACAGAAAGCCCCAAAGTGGGCGATTCAAAGTCCTTGCAGGTGCCACCGGGCTTATCTGGAAGCCCTCTAACCCATGACCACCTCAACTACCTGCTGGCAGGCACCTGTGATTACACTCAAAAAGGAGCACCCCCCCCCTCAGAAGCATCCCCCTCTATTGTAGCCCAGAGGTATGGTGCCTTTTGTTTGTTTGTTTCTGGGACTTGGTTCTGTTCATCTGTGCAGTGGTGGAAGTATCAACTGAATGGACTTGTTGGCCATGCCCAGGCTTTGCTATGGGCAGTTGAGCCTGTGGGGCCACCTCTGTGCCCTGGCTGCTGAAAAAAACCAAGTCCAACCTGGAGGCTTCAAAATATGGGAAAACATCTGAAAAGGCTGAAACTCAGGACTCAGCTCACCTGTCAGCTCCAGCACAGGACAACATCTTGTTGATGCGGATTACGTGGAAGGGGTGGAGCCGCACTCGAATATGAAAACCATCTTTGCCACAGCTTTTCACCATGTACTTGTTGGCACAGATACGGGCAGCCTCCAGGGCTAGGTGGGAGGCAGAAGGCAGCACAGTGAGACAAGGTGGCACTTACCAGGAACATCAGTATTGGTAGGGTGTTTTGTAGAGGCTCATGATTGATGAACTGATAACCCCAGTGCAGGGCGTTCTAAGTCTGGCTGGGGACCAGGTATGATTAACAAGGAATCCTGCCTCACCTTCAGAGGAAAGCTGCTCATATTCATCTGACACCATGTGGCCACAGAGTGGGAACTCATCCACTTTTGCCTTCTTCCGCCCCAGGTCAAAGATGCGGATCTTAGCATCTGAAAATAATTCTCAGTTAGTGTCTGTGTGGTGCCATAAGCAACTGAGTCAGTGCAGCCAAACCAGTTTGGGAGTTTTCCCACTTACCAGGGACACCTCGGCAGAAGCGTGACTTTGGGTATGGCTTGTTCTTACAGTACCGGTAACTGCAAGGGGGGAAAAAAACCCAAGTTTGCAGGGCCTCAAAACAGAACTCCACGATAAACACACTGACTGCTTCCTTAAGACCAAAGGGGGACTGAGGGGAGGATGACAAGTCACTCTCTAACCTAGTCTCCATTCCTGGAAACTGGCGCTAAAGCAAGATGTGGCCAAAAGTTAGGACAACCAAGATAGAAGCTTACAAAAGCAAAAAAATACCTTCCTTGGTCGCCTATTGGATTCTAACTTCCTATAATCAAAGATTTTGAAACAAGCTTTTCCAGTTTACTAACACAGCTCATGCCATCCACCTAAAGACCATTGGGCACGTGGCATTAAAACCAACTCCTAACCACATGAAGAGCTCCCGGCGCCCCCTGGAGGGCACACAAGGCGGCTGAGCCAGCTTTCCCGGGGCTGCCCTTGGCGCCCAAGACCACACAGCACGTCACGGAACGGGGATGGTACACAAAGGCCCCAAGGCCATCGAGCCTGAAAAGGCAGCGAGTTTCCAAGACAGAAGGCGGGATACAAGGTGGACATCGCTTGTAACTCAAAACTGGAGCACCATATGCAGTCTGGGGTCAAACCGCCACTCCAACAAAATGGGGGAAGCGGTAAACACAAATGGAATAAACGAAGACCTAAAGAGACCCGGAAGGTATTGGGGGAAAGGCCGACTCTGTTCACAGGACAAGAAAGCCGCACTAGGGAGCCCCAACCCCAAGGCGGCTTACAGCCAAATGCAGTTCTCCCTTTTCCCAGCAGCGAAAACTGCATGGATGAGGCACTCACCACCGGGCGGGGCGGCGGCCCATGGCGACACCAGGATCTTCTGTGGCTGCAACGAAACAGAAAAAGTCGGAAGAGAAGACGAAGACAGGCCTCAAACTAGGGTAGAGAAACAGCAAGGACACCGATCAAGCCAGAACCCAAGACTACTCACCGCGCGGAAGCGAAAGAGGCGCTCCCACCTCTGAGCATGCCTTATATAGGCGGACAATCTTAACGCGTAGAAACCATAGAGTCCGGAGCTAGGGCAGGTGGACGCTCTATCACACTTTCGGACCATAGATGCAGCGGCGCTCTGCGCCTGCGTGCTGACGCGGGTGGACACATGCGCAGAACAGGGAGGCGGCTGGGTACCCTACCGGGGGCGACCAGCTGACGAATGGAGCGTCGCCACATCGGCGCCCGGAGTCCGCTTCCGGCTGGCCATCTTGGGCGTGCAACTCTTGCCCAAGGCTTTGCCGTAATTGTGAAACACGTATGTTCCTAGAGTTCAAAGAAGGAAAATACTTCGAGTGGTGCTCACGGTGGCCGCGCGCGTGTTTCTGGGGATCGCGAGGCCCGGGACACACCCTCTGTGCCACCCCCTGCGTCCCAGAGCCCGGCGGGGACTCGCCATGCTGCCGAATTTGCCCGCGTTCCTTTGTGGACCTGGAGGCCAGGGCGGGAGGCCCGCCCCGTCCCCCCGCTCCCGTCTCCCGCCCTAACCAAAGAGTCCTGAGTCTAATTCCCTTTGAGCCCTATGCCTAGTCCCGATCCCTGGAGGCCGGGGGCGTGGCCTGCGCCAGCCCCAGGCGGTCTGCGGTCTCCCGCTTGAAGTCTCCTTAGAGAAGCTGTGACCAAAATCCAGGTCCGGGGGACTCCATGAGCACCGTTGAGCCCCCCTGACCAGGCAGAGAAAAGAGGTTAGTTATACTCCCCAGGGTGACTTGGAGAAGGGGAAAAGAAGGGTAGTAACCCGACCTAGATGGCAAAGGAGCACTGTCACTCCTCTGGCCGCGGGCCAGTCCTGGCCGCTAAGAACTGCCTTGATCCCTGCTCCTGGGGGCTTCCACCATCCCAAGGACCAGAACGTGGAACGCCCCCTCACGCACAGTTCCTTCCCCGCCCACTATATTACAGAGCCTGAGTATGCCTCTGATATGCTTTCAGTTAAACCATGAATCCTTCCCCCCGCTGCCAAGAATATTATACAGAGAAGTGTACAGTTAGTGCTCACGTCACAAGGGATCTAAGTGTCTGGCAGAGGTGTCAAATGTTTCTGGAGATGGGGACAGCAGGAAGGTAACGAAGTCTTCCATTGTCACTTGGCAACTGTGATACACCTGTTCTTCTCCAGGACGACCTGTCACTTTAGTGAATGGTTCCTTTAGGAAGGTTCCAGAAGATTTGTGATGTACACACCTCCAATTCCCTTCCCAGGGAACACAGCATCCCCTTTTATTGGGGGGCTCTGGGCCTGAAAACTGGGTAAGAAGCTGTGACTCTCCACTGGGGCACTAAAGTCAGGTAATTGGGTCACAGACCTAGAGCATCCAGAGTTACATACATCAAGAAGCACTGTAGCAGGCTACCCAACTATTTCCTTCCTAGAAGCACTATGATCTTTTCAGAGATTTTCAAGGATGCTAGTGTTACTGCTTAAACAGCTCTCTCAATGCCTCTTTGAAAGACCAGCACTGGACCTATCCCTGGATCACAGTTGGAGGGTAGGGTGTTCAGGTACAATATGATGAATCTACTCCAAAATTCTTCTCTCCCTAACCCTTTGGGTTCTGTCCTGCATATCATGCCACGGCACTTCTGAAACCCATACCAATGAAATACAAGTCAACAGCGGGTCCAAGATTCAGACAACCAACCATGTGAAGTGCTCAACTACTCATGGGTTCCATGTGCTAACACTTTCCACCTGGAAACTCTACTAAATGCGCCTCTGTCAAATAATCCACTACATGGAGTGTCTGAGCTCACCTACTCAGCTGAAAACCCTGAAAAACTACAACCACAAATGTTCAAATACGGTTCATTTGGTAGATTTCAGTCAAGTCTGGAAAATATGTATTGATGTAGGAGCTATGTCCTCTTTGGTCAGACTTTACCCCCTGGAGAAAGCTATGATTGATTA